TGTTTTATTCTTCAAATAACTGTCATTAGCAAGCACACCTGTTCAATGCAGGAGGAAGGCACAGTAGACCCAGAGAGTGACACAGACGAGCAACACCTCGTCATCCCCCCCGGGGGGGATCCTAAGGATACATGCCAGGTTTTTTGTGAAGCGGATTCTGTTATAAGTGGACACGCACACACAGAATTTTGTGCAATACATTAGTACTATGATTCAAACTGAACACTGAAATTATTTTTAAAATGTCATCTTTTTCTTTTTTAACAAACATTAAGTTCTAGAGAAGAAAAAACAGTGGATTATTTGGCCAGAAATTAAATGTATAATTATTGTATCTTTTCAAATGCCTGAAGATATCTGAAATAATTAATATGGTTAGTTGAATTTCCATATGTTTTTCTTTTCTTATAGTTTGATAACTTGGATATTCCTCTAAATCAATACGTAGTTATACCGTACCCAATCTAAAGTTGTTATTATTTTTAAAGAAAAAAATCCTTGTCCTGATAAAAGAGAAAAAAAACTTAAATTTTCATTTTAATAATATTCAAGGAACCGAAATTAATGACAATTCCTGCATTTTGCGATGCTTATAAAATTGTTTAAATAAGTGCGCTTTAAAATTTAAATATTTTACTGTATTTCCCACCAGAGGCGTCGCTAGGCACTGATACTGCTTATTTGACAGTGCTGTGTAAATCAGAATAGAAAACCATGATCGATATCGTACCGAAACGCCGAAAATTTCTGCGCCTATGGGCTCGAGCCCTGAATCTTTTAAGCACCTAGCAATGCCTCTATTTCCTACGTTTCGTCTTTGCGATTTCGTAAGGTATTCTTATAGCCTAACCCTTTTTTTTTTACTGTGCGATTTATCCACGAAATCTTATAGCCTAACTTCACTGATCAACCATCATCGGGATTTAGGTCTTGTTGACGACCTGGGAGGGTCAGGTACTAAATAGACCTCTTCCTCTCTCCTGAACTGTTGTTATTTGATGTTTGATTAATGTGGTTTTTAAGTAAGCTGGTTTGGATGTCTATCTGTTTCTATTTGCTACCTTCCTTTTCAGGGCTACGTCCATTTTATGTTGTCAGGTTATGTTTCTTTATAAAATTATGTTTATTGTGTATTTGTGTACTGTATTGTGTGTGGTAATACGAATAGTTGTATTATCTGTGGTAGTTATTAGTGTTAGGTGTTCAACAGCTATTTTGATGTGGTAGTATTAGTGTTAGGTGTTCAACAGCTATTTTGATGTGGTAGTATTAGTGTTAGGTGTTCAACAGCTATTTTGATGTGGTAGTATTAGTGTTAGGTGTTCAACAGATATTTTGATGTGGTAGTAATAGTGTTAGGTGTTCAAAAGCTATTTTGATGTGGTAGTATTAGTGTTAGGAGTTCAACAGCTATTTTGATGTGGTAGTATTGGTGTTAGGTGTTCAACAGCTATTTTAATGTGGTAGTTATTTGTGTTAGGTGTTCAACAGCTATTTTGATGTGGTAGTATTAGTGTTAGGTGTTCAACAGCTATTTTGATGTAGTAGTATTAGTGTTAGGTGTTCAACAGCTATTTTGATGTGGTAGTATTAGTGTTAGGTGTTCAACAACTATTTTGATGTGGTAGTATGAGTAATTAGTGTTCAACAGTCGTTTTAATGTGGTAGTATTAGTGTTATTTTAATTATTAGTGTAACGCTGTCATATTGGTTTTGGTTTCTGTATTGAGCGACGAACTCGTAGAATATGTTTTTGGCTGATTCTATTATTTTGCTTATTATTTCATTTTGTTGTGTTTGAGCGTTAGTGGGTTGTGTGCTCTTCATTTGTTTTGATATGTCTTCAGTGTGGGTTTTTACTGCCTGTGCGAATGCATGTGTAGTAGATTGTTTTCTCTTGGGGTTTTGGTGTTGGCAGCAAAGGTGTTTTTCTTTGTGTTCTGTTTGCTTCCCGATTTTGTACGTGTGTTATTTTGTATGTTAATTATGCGTGTTCTTGTATTTTAGGCATCCTTTATAGTTAGCCGTGTGTTGCTGTTGGCGGTTACAGCAATGTGGTTGTGGGTTTTCACATGGGCAGTCTGTGTTCTTCCACCCCCACCCCCAACACCCTTCGCATTGTGGTAGAGCTTTACATGTGGCTGACGTTAAACGTTTATTTATTTATTTTAAACTTTCCGTCAAATAACAAGTTACAACAGGAAAACGCGAACTGACGAAAGTCCTTTCTCTGAGTTAATATTTCACTACACACGTTAATACTTTAACAAGTTATATCTGTATTGCCGGATTTAATAATAATATATAAGAAGTTATAAAATGTTGCATTCTTTAAAACTAACTATATAAAAAAATAAAAAGACTTATTTCACTACAAATTTTATTCTGTTTCGACATTTCAATTATAAGCTGCTCTCAAACGGAGACTATACTAAATGAGCTTCCGTAAGGACTCGGAAGTTTTCTGTTTCAAAAATAAATAAAACCAAAATTAAGAGTAACAAATATTTTTATTTCTTGGTTTTGAAGTTCATATGTCGTGCTGTTTTGTAGCCTACAGAGTGCAGAATCCTTCTCGTGATTCATGGTATGCACACGTTTTACTGACGTCACGAAAGTACAAATTGCAACATTAAGCATCCTTTATGTGATGTCAGTTTCAGTGTCTTCTTACTAACATATTACTGCACAGTGGTGCAAGTATCTAAAACAGGTACCCCTCGAGGAGGCCTTCGTCCCCCTTTCAGGGAAATAACAGGATAGTAATATAATATTTTGGTAAAAGTATATAACCCAAATGTTGACATATAAGAAATTCTACAGTAAGACTTTTTTGTTTATAAATATATCCAAATATTTACAGTCGGTACTAAGTTTTTAAAATATTAAATTATATTTTAAAACAATATCTGCAACAATATACGTATAAATTTTGTCTTTTTTTCTGGTATTTCACGAAAATAAACTTTTTCTGTATATTTGGTCATCTCCTGTAAGTTGTCTTTCGTTATAATTATGTATATTTTTATGATATTTTCAAATCTCTTTCTTGATGCAAAAAACCCGTTCTCGAAGAAATTTTCGTAAATGGTCAAATGTCTGACCTTGCGATTTATTAATTGCTACGGTGAAGAACAAATGCACGAAGGTATAACTTTTCATAAAAAATACTTATAAACTTTTGGACTAAATTTTTAAAAATCTCTTACCGAAAGTGAAAAACATCAATAATAGTGTATTGTAACGCCATCTGTTGGGTAGAAAAGATATTTAAATTGTTTCTGACATATACAGTCATCGGAGTTTATTATGTAATTTGATATTATCTCTGATTTAATATACAATTGTATTCGTCTTTTTCCGAATATTCAAAGAGTTTGTTATAGATATGATATTAAATATACTGAAAAATAAATATGATAATAATAAAAAGTTAACATAAAATCCTAACTCGACTTTGAACTAAAGACTTCCACATGATAGTCGAGTGTAATAACCAATGTTACATCTAGTTTTTTTTGTAATCCACTTTTAATAAATCTCATATTTAAATTGTTATCTATCCTGTTTTTTCCCGTAATATTTTGCTCTAAACACGATGACTTAATAAAAAAAGCTATAGACATTCCGCACTCGACTGTGATTTGAATACGACTTTGTTTGTCTTGAATTTCGCGCGAAGCTACACGAGGGCAATCTACGTTAGCCGTACATAATTACCAACATGTTTGGTGGGGTGAGGATTCGAACCCGCGACCCTCAGATTGCGAGTGAAGCGCCCTAACCATCTTTGTATATTGTTACTTAACATGTAGTAAGTAACTTTGCTATTTTTAAACACGAAGGACAATTGTATTATAGAGTATATAAAAGAATGTTTAATATACATACAACATAATTAAGTACAACACAAAATAAATTGATCCGAAACTTGGGTACTCGATTCGATTGGCCGAAATCCGTTCCGTAAGTTCAAGTCTCGCTCCTGTCTGCGCTTCGAAAATGTCTCTACAGAATGTTGAAACATGGAGATTCTTAGACAACTTTTCGAGTTCACACTTGCCAGAATGTTGAAACATGGAGATTCCCAGACAACTTTTCAAGTTTCACACTTGCCAGAATGCTGAAACATGGAGATTCCCAGACAACTTTTCGAGTTTCCCACTTGCCAGAATGTTGAAACATGGAGATTCCCAGACAACTTTTCGAGTTTCACACTTGCCAGAATGTTGAAACATGGAGATTCCCAGACAACTTTTCGAGTTTCACACTTGCCAGAATGCTGAAACATGGAGATTCTTAGACAACTTTTCGAGTTTCACACTTGCCAGAATGCTGAAACATGGAGATTCTTAGACAACATTTCGAGTTTCACACAATTAACTTCGGTCCCATCTGGCACCGTTGTTGCGGCAACATCTGAACAACCACGTGACAGAAATGCACATGTTGTAATTTCTTCCGATGTAAACAGAGATTCAAATGGCGCATTTCTGTCACGTGACTGCATTGTCATAAAAGTATCAGACGATAATCTATTTATTTGTTTATATCTAAGCTGCTTGGACTATCTGGTGCCGTACCATAATTTTGAGCTACAAGGATGGCAGCACCAATCACCATCCCTTGGGCTACTGTTTACAAAAAAAAATGATGGGATTGAACGTTACAATGTAACGTGCCCACGTGTGAAAGGGCGAGTATGTTTGGTGCTGGGTTTCGAACTTGTGATCCGCCAGGACGCCATGATGTCACCCAAAGAATGTATATTTAGTAATGGTATATAATTCATATAAGATATACCGGAGATAAGCGATGATATATATATGAGATATATGGGATATATCGGAGGTAGGCTTTAAAACTGTTACATGTAACCACCTACCTAGTGACACCAGTGTGTCACTATTGTCTTACAACGTGATAATTTTGTAATTAATTGACTTCCTCAGTGCTTTTATTTTGTGTTATTATGTTATAATTACGTGGGATAAAAAAAAAAATCTGTCTTAACCTGTTAATAAAACAAGAGGGAATCCTCAATAGCCGCGGCATTTGAAATTATTTTAGGCAGGATTAGAGTCAATTAATCTATGAGACCTTTGTTTCCCATTTTATTAGCGATATTTTTGTGCGCGGGAAATACCAAGCGTGGGGCGCGCGTATACCCGATTCGATTTTATTACTCATCAGGATCTCTACCAGCCTACCCTCAAATTGAAATTATTTTATGCAGGATTAGAAAAAATTAATCTATGAGACCTTGGACGTGGTCAAATACATCAATCGACATGGTCTGACCTCCTGAGTCCAAAAGTATAATTATATCTCAAATCGATCAAGAGATGACAGAGCTATGAGTTAAAAGTTTGTACTTGGGGGGAAAAAATACTCGGAGCTGTTCTATGAGCCGATATGCCGCGGCAAAAAAATACTAAAAACAATTGCGTAGGAAGCGAGAGGACCCAGGCCGTCCCACTTTTCAATCTGTCCCAGTAAAAATTAGATAAATTACTCTCAGGAAAAAGCGGGAGAATGCATAAAATTTAATCCAGAACCAACGAATTTCCAGAGCCTTAAAGCAAGCCCTAGACCCCGGCGTAATGGGTGCACCTGTGGTACATATTCCCTCGCTTCGCTCTGTCAAACAAACCTTGTCCCCCACTTTTAATTTGCCTCCTACACCTCTGAAAAAATGTTATTTATTTACATACGACCCCATAGTGAGAGAGTTAATTTTCACGCCTATGAATTCAAATTTTGTTTCTCAAAGTTTTGTGAAAGTTGATAGTTTACCTTCCAAGTTCTTTTTGAAATGTTTATGAAACATTGTTTTGGTTTTGTATTTCCTGACGGTATAAAAAATTAGTTTAACTGCACACTGTAACCTGAAACTCGTGAGAAGTTTTAATCGGTTAAAACTCATACCACAGTTTTTTGACTGTCATCTATCATAGATTTAGTCACTGACGTCACAAACACGTTCCCAGTCTCTTCGTTACGTTAATATATCGTACAGAAAAAAATCGACGAATTAATATCCTTCAAAGCCTTTCAGTATTTCATTTGAAACGATACTTTGCTCATAACTGAACTTGAAATTTGATTTTTTATTGTGAAATTTATATTTATATTAACACCATTAAAAGAGAGAGAGAGAGATAAATCGTGCAGGATCGTATATTCATCCAGGATAGGTCCTATCTTCTATAGATGAAACCTGAGAAAAAAAACAGATTACACACAATTAACTATAATTAAAAATAGTAAAGATGGCGGATTTTACACACACAAAAAAAAACTTCAAACTAAGGTTAATATAATTAATTACATTACCTGTTCTAAATGTTTGATATGCATGATTAGTAATAATTAATTAAATGTCTGAAGGGCGACCTCTGGCGAACAACTGGAAACAACTATAACAGACGACTACGAGACTCCTGAAAATAAGTGCCCTAATATAAGTTTATCGAGATACTAATAATAGTTATAAAAAAATTCCAAAATTAAAATGATAATGAAAAAGAAACGTTGATATTATTAAAATGTTTTCACGATTGTTAAATAATGTTTATCACGGCTGCAAGAGATCTATCCGAGCATAGTTGTATTCAATTTTGAACTGATAGACTAGAGGGAAGGCAGCTAGTCACCAGCACGTACCGCCAACTCTTGGGACTGTTCTGACCAAATACTGGGATTTGACTGTCACTCAAATTGAGCACTCACGGCCTCAAAGTTCGGAGAAAATTTTTTATGGAAACGGGACGTAAACCACGAACTCTCAGATACAAAGTCCGTTTATATAAACCAAGCCGACCCTCTTTTCGATGATTTTAAGGAAAACAACTCGTTTATCATGTAGAAAGCGCGAGGCTACACAATAAGCTATCAGTGCTCTGCCTCTTATGGGTATCGAAACCCGATTTTGGGCGTTATGAGCCTTCAGAGTTGCCGCTGAGCAACCGAAGTGGGGGGGGGGGCAATCCTCGTTCAGGAAGATATCAGAGGAGCTAACGCCGCAATACTTTTCCTCAAATATCTGTTCGTTGAATTTTAGTGAATTAAGATTTAAACCTTTCGTTCAAAGTCTTCATATTATATTTAAAGGAAAAAAAACTCGACGTTATGCCAATGTTACATTATTCAAAAGTTTAAAATAATGTCGTGTTCAGAAAGTGTGGGAATTAACGAAAATAAACATAAGTGAATTAAAAACGTATATGTTGATAAATAAATTATAAAAATAATTCCACATACTTTTCCTTTGCTATTCTTTTACAAAACGCTCTCCAGTAGCCCAGCGGTAAATCCGGTTTTTGATACCTTTGGTGGGCACAGCACAGATAGCCCTTTGTGTAGCTTTACTTTTGACAACAAACTAACAAAATATGTTTTGTTTTTTGAATTTCGCGCAAAGCTACACGAGGGCTATCTGCGCTAGCCGTCCCTAATTTAGCAGTGTAAGACTAGAGGGAATGCAGCTAGTCATCACCACCCACCGCCAACTCTTGGGCTACTCTTTTTACCAACGAATAGTGGGATTGACTGTCACATTATAACGCCCCCACGGCTGAAAGGGCGAGCATGTTTGGTGGGACGGGGATTGCGAGTTGAGAACCCTAACCACCTGGCCATGCAACAAAATGTGATAAACTGTTCGTAAAAGTAAGAGGAAAATTAAGTTGAGTGACTGTATCAGTTGAAATCTTTGATCTGTATATTGCGGTCAATTAAACCTTTAACCTGTATATTATGGTCAGTTGGAACCTTTGACCTGTATATTATGGTC